ATGACGTTGCTGTTCATAATAAGTTGGGTCTATATTTTGTCGATGCGTGCGATACAGGTGGTCTCAAACGTCATGAATGGGGTTCTAATAGTCCTGATTTGCACTCAACGAATCATGGTCTTTGTGTTGAGGCTGTGTGTACCAATGGACATTGTGAAGCCTATCAAAAGACAGTATTTATTAACATCGGATTTGGACAATTTGATCTTGTTGGTGGCACCAACGCTAATGTATCGAAGTGCCCAGTATGTGATCACTATGTCAAACCGAAAACATGTGCTTTTAACAATTGTAAATGGCGATGGTGGGGTATACAGCAACCTCAAGAGGGCCAGCCACCCAAACGACTTTCGGCAGACTGGAAAGTTGCTGACAATGCCTATCATCGATTCAAAGAAGATCCAAATGGGATTATCTCGATGGCGAAAGTTAGTTTTCGAAGCGCACAAGAATTGACTTGAATATGATACATAACATTAACTTTCTATTTTTGTAGTGAGCACTTTCTAAATACACATTTATTCTTCACCGTACTCATGTAAAAGAAAAAGGATAAGAGAAAAAGTCCAATCATCATCATTCATATAGCAAATTTCAACTAATTGAGTAGTTTATTTGTAATTTGTATGTTTTCGAGTGTTCGATCGTCAACGATTTCAAGTGAAGTTACATCGTCATAATGCAGTACATCAGATCTCATTCTTTTTTTTCTAATCTTCATCGATCATTAATTGTAAGACTAATTGATCGACATCTTAATATTTTGTTTTCATTCTTCGAATTGTCATTAGTAAAACTATTACTAGAGCGATCATCAGTATTCACAATAGATAAATTTAATTCATTTAAATTAATCATCATATATAAAAGAGGAAATATATCTTTCAAATGATATAAATGAGTTGTTAATGATCTTATCTTTAGCAACAGCACCCCTCGCTGAATGTAGTCGTGTGATCATAATCAGAAGTGTAAAAACTTCGGCTGCTACTAATGTTAAGTGTATTAAGCTTGCCGATAGTTTTGAGTGTGATGCTATCATCGGTTCAATCGTTGGATTTAAATCAAAATGTGAAAATAGTCAGAGATCTGGTAAATATCTACAGAATTGTGATAATAATGTTTCAAAACTAAAATTGATGGGTACAGAACATCTATCATAATTGAAAAAATGATTTTATCTTATTACTTAATGTTCGTTGTTGTTGTCTTAGCGAATGGCGCCATATCATGTGAAGAATCTTAACGAAATAACTGCAACAAAGTAGGAGTAAGATTCAATTCCAATTTTTATTCAAACTTTGTTTCTACGCTTGAGTACTTCACTCGCTTTGAAATTATCTCGAAAGAGAGATGTAGTGGTTTCTGTTTTAAAGTACAACACCTATGTTTCAATGACATGCTGCTTAGCCTGTTTAGTCTTGATAAATTCCCGGAAGATTTATTATAACTGAAAAACGAGTTTGCTATATTTTACAATTCTAGACGAGAATAGGTTTTGCTTCGATAGTTTGAGCTCTTATTAGTGCTGAATTGTGACATCAATAAGCCGTACGTGGTCACTCTGAAAGTTTTTAAATTCTTCATTAAATTTAATAGATATGTACGAGTTTGGTAGTTGTGGTAGTAGACCTAAGTCTTAGAAGAAAGTCCACAAAGTTTTGACTCTTGAACACTTCTCCTTTCGTTTTGTTGTAGATTAAGTGATACTAAATTGGAAATAATATTTTACCAGGGGTATTGCTATAATTTTAAGAGTAAATAATGAATTTTATATCAAGCAACAATTTGTCAAAAATGAGGTTTATTAGTACTAAACAATAAGGATTATGAAAACTTTCAAGGTACGAAAGTTTTCATAACCATTATTGTTTAGTATTAATACACCTCATTTTTGACGGCCTTTCGTTTGGTATAAAATTCATTATTGACTCTTAAAATTATAGCGATACCCTCTGGTAAAATATTATTTCCAGCCGGGTATGAATTTCACACGAGATCAAATTCGAGTTGTGATTTACTATGATCACATATCAACAAAACGAAAGGAGAAATGTCCAAGAGCGAAAACTTTGTGGATTTTCTTCCAAGACTTGGATCTACTACTACAACTATCAAACTGGTATATATCTATTAAATTTAATCAAGAATCTAAAAACTTTCAGAGTGACCCTCGTATTGTTTTCGTTCAAACTAATAAAGCATTTACCTATAGATCTAAAAGCTTTTTTTTTAGGTTAGGCATCAGAGAATTCAAATTGTTTCTCATCTATCTATCGTATTTTTCCCTTGTTTCAATTACGATATTTATTTTCGATAGTTGCCTATTATCAAAAATATGAAAGAGAACATTTTGTATCTCTGTCTTGTTTTTTTTTTTAGTTTAACAAAAGAGTATGTTACTGTTTTTGATGATCTCTCAAATGAACTTATTTATAAAATAGTTCGTTTACTTCCATTGAAATATTGTCAAAGTCATGGTTTATTGCTACGAATGAATTCAGTCTTCTAAAATATCTCGTCATCAACAATAAGATTTTGATTAATCAACTTGATAGTTTATTATCATATGTTCCACAACTACTATGTCGTTTATCATTTGATCTTTATATGAATATAGAAATAGTCGAACAAAGAGAAGTTAGATTATTTGACCAACGTGTCTTTCAAATTGTCTTCTGTCAGTTTTGATAATTTTCAAGTATGGATTGTAGATTTTTTTCTATCAAGTTCGAGTTTTACGTATTACATCATAGTCTATTCGACATTTCAGTTTTGGTACAGAAATATTCAATGCTGATCGATTGAAACAATTAATTTCAACTTATATGCCAAATCCATATATGTATCAATGTGAGAATAAATACAAAGTAATGATACAAATTGACCAACAGGAAATGGATTAATGTGGTATTTTTTTTGTAGCATACATTATCACTGCGAGAAAGTAATAAAAATAATGACGCGAAACGGTCATAAATAATTCCAAAAAAATGGTTTGTGTTATAAGCATTATTTTGTAATTTTTTAAGTCATTTTCTTTGTTAACAAATAATTATTTTAATGCATTATATGAAAAGTATCATTATTTTTATTACAATTTGAAATCACTTTATCATTTTTATCTTTGCCTGAGATCAATAGCCACTAAAGAATCTATTCACAGAAAAATGTCCTTGAACGAGGCGAGCGCTCCCTATAAAATCTCGTTCTGCAATTCGTTCTTCTACTATGACCAATGAAGTAAATATGTATCATACTAGTGTGGCCAATAGATTATTACTAGTGATGGAAACATGTTCTTATTTATCACGTCGGGTATTTTTCTCTGAAATTTGTGTCGTTTTCTTAACTAAGCAAAGTACATGATTGATTGATTGATTGATTGACATGAAGTTTCGTCTAACTTGTAGAAATACCCAATTTTCATCTGTCGATTTGCTCGAGTATGAACCATGTAATTGATCTTGAAGTGAAACGCACCTGAGCAGAATTCTAAGTTGGCTTCATAATAAAGATTTTCTCACATAACAAACAACGATAGAAGACATCTTCTTATCATAGCTGTCAGCCATGATAGATTCCATCTTATGAATTTTCTCTCTCTCTCTCTCTCTCGTTTCTGGTGTTCGATATATGCTTGATGTTTTTGCGATGCAAAAAAAGAGACATTCGATGAATTGTTGGGTATAAAAACCCATAATTCAATTATTGAAAATCAGTAATTTGTATTCTAGACATTAACGAAAAATTTTCTTCTATTTTCTAGATAGTTGACATCAATAATAGAAAATGAATTCATCATTTGAATCTCTTTCTACCGAATTATTATTTGAATTCTTTGATTATTTATCTCCATTCGATTTATTTCGAATTTTCATCAATCTCAATAATCGTCTAAATGCTATTGTTTATTCATATCCACTTCGATTGGATTTTCGATCAATTTGTCGATCAAAATTCGATTTTATTTGTCGTCATCTTCAACCAAAACAAGTTATTTCATTGATTCTTTGCGATGAATGTGTTCCTGATCGAGTGAAACTTTTCCTTTATCATTTTCCACATTTTAAAGAACAATTTCTTCATCTTCAATCTATAACATTAATCGAAGCTGAAACTATTACTTTCATCGATTTACCCATATCCGTTTCATCGATATCAATCAAAATTTATGATACTGATGATTATTATGACCAAAATTATATTAGTGAAATCTTGTCTCGACAAGCAAAAGTGTTAACTCATTTAAAAATTAATAGTAAAGATTTACATGATCTTATTGACATTCGTTTTCCAGCTCTTACACATTTGATTATTGGTGGAGGATGTTATTATGATAGTGACTATGACTATATGGATGTATCTTTTCCATTGGAGAATACTGATGTTCATTCATTAATTCAACAATGGCAATGTTTTCTCACTCATCTTTATCTTGTTATCGATAATAAAATCCAATATTCGATATTTAATCTTGATCGATTCTCTCATTGTCTCACTCATCTTGCATTACACTTTTATCAAGGTAAAGAAAAAAACTAATGAAAAATTAATTTTCATTTTCGATCTAATATTGTAGCTATTCAAGTATCATTTGTATGTCTTGAACGATGTCTAATTAAATTGTTTCAATTGACAAAGTTCACTTGTCAAGCAAGTGGTTCATGGGATTTAATTGATGGAAAACAATGGGAACAATTACTTTTGAAAACACAAATTATTCGATTTAATTTCAAATTCACGTTTAATCAAATTTGGGAAATTTCATCCATACTAGAATCATTTCGTT